CGCCACTCGTGACCGGTCTCCACTTGGGCATGGAGCCGTTGACCACTACTCTCCGAGTGCGGCCATTGAGCCAATTCCTTATCCACCGAGTGGTCCACCCATCAAACCCATGCCTCTCTAGTTTAGAGAGAAGAATGTCGTGCAGGACAGTGTCAAAAGCTTTGCACAAGTCCAGGTAGATGATATCCATTGGTCGACCCTTGTCCACCGACGCTGTCACCCCATCATAAAATCATGTTCCTGCTATGTCATTACTAAAACCACACACTTGACTATAACCTCCTTTATTTGTGTACACAGGGGAATCTAACCTGTGAGATTCTTGCTTTGTGAACTTAATAGATTAATAGATTCTATGTACATAGACCAGAAACACCTACGGTTACTGTGTAGGTGTTATTATAGACACGGTGACAGAATTAGGTAGCAGCAGTGTAATGACATCAGTAATTCTAGTAAGACAGAGCAGACCTACTCCCACTGAAAGTAATCAAAGATATTTCAGCAATTTTTTACTGGCCCTAAGAAGAGGCTCTACGAACCTAAGCAGGTGAAACTGCAGTTCCCATAATGCACTCACGCATAATCGGGAGTACATAAACACCAAGTTTCTTATTCTATATTTCCAAATTCCACTTACAATCCTAAAAAAAGTAGGATTCATTACTACACTCAAATTACTGAACTATTTACAACAGAACAAGCCATTTGTCACCAAAGGTACCTTATTAATGGCACATGCAGTCTTCTCTCGGATGGACCCACTGCTTGTTCTCATAATCTTTGACAGATCCTGCCGAGCTGCCAAGAGATTTGCAACGGAAATAGTGCACTTAGTAGACAAGAGGGCACGTTTTGGCTGGTAGACTTTAGCCAGTTTTTCTGTTTGACTCTGTTGGAGAAAAGAAACACAAAATCCAGTCAGCTAAAGTAATAGGAAAGCAATGGGGCACCTCACCAAAAGAATCAAATCAACACTGAAGAACAAGACACTAATGCAAGTAGAACAAATATTAATATAGAAACACTTTGTAACTAAGAATCACTGCAACAGAGCCAGCATTTGTCAAATGAATATATCTTAAGCAATATAGGAAATGCTACTCTGACTGAACTGACAAGACACTGGAACTGGTCTTCTGACAATTTTAAGATTAATAATATATACACGCAGACCATTTACTTTCAAGCAGTCAAACACGGAACAGAAGGGTGTCATATAGTTATACAAATTACTGCTAATGTCTAAAAGATACTGAAACGTGTCTGTGTCCAGCCTCCAGACCTCCTTCTGCAGCTGCACCCTGACCCATGCGCATTCCAGTTAGGCTAGCATCACCTCTCTCCAACACCGTGTCAGCAGAAAAAGGCTGTTAACTCTTTCACACTCTTCATTCCAGTCAGCTTCTTCACAAAGGCAAGCCATCAAGAGCTACTGGCAGAACTAACACACTCAAGTGCTTGTTCTAATTCAGTCCTTTGTAAGCCAGAAATGAGATCCCACCTGTCATCAACTTTGCCTTGTATGAAATCTCTCGTCCTCTACTGCCTTTTGGCATTAACCATACTGGCTTTTTTGAACACCTCAAAAGTAAGACAGCAGTTTTCCGACTGACAGACACAACAGAAATCTGTGCTAACAACCATGAGTTAACACACGAGTTAGATATAACCCAGTTATCAGCAGAGGATAATGTGTGATGCGGTTAGGATAAACCAGATTGCAATCTGCACACAGACAAAAGGGCTGCTTTCTGTCTGGACCCCACATGGCAGCAGTGGGGACAGGCAAACCAGGTTTTCCAACAAATCTCTTGACAGGCCAAGAACTTAAGAGCAAATTTGAAAATTTTTAAATCCTATTTTCCATCTAAAGGCAGAAAACTGGAACTGGGAAGAACTGAGAGTATGTATTTCCAAGAGACTCAGTGATAAGTTTTCAGAACCAAAAGCTTCTATTTTTATATCACAAGTTGAACAGGTTTTATTCAAAATGAAGGAAAACATGCACATCATTTACCTGACACTAGCTAAAGACAGGAGACTCAACAGTATTCACCAGAGCAGTAGCATGTTTCCCCCTGGTGAGTTTGACTGAGCTCTGAGAACAGTATTTTGGTGCTGCGATGTTATTCTTTTAGGTGAAACTTGACGTTTTTGAACTTAAAATTCCCTAATAATAAAGTTTTTACCGATGTTTTTGTAGGAGAAATAACTACTTAGTTACATTGCTGTATTCTGGTACTTTTTGAATTTTAAAATAAATAAAAAAATAAATCGCCATCACACACTGTTAAAAGTTACTGTTAAAACAAACTGTATCACATGCCTGGAATACTATAGCCACATTCTCCAATTTCCTATTGTTATGGTCCTAAAAAATTTAGATTTGCATTTCAATAGACAGAAAAGCGTATATATGATTTGTGTCTTTTGTGAAAGGATTTCATGTAGCTATTCAAGTTCAAAAACATCTGAGAATTCTCCTAGAAAAAAACCACACACACATGGATTTGAATGTCAAAGCTATAACACCATTAGAAGTCCTTGGTTTTTAATCTAATTCGCACTGTTGCGCATTTTCATTCACTATTAACGTATTCAAACAATCAGATAGTTCCTCAATCATCTACCAAAAAATCTGAAGAATACAAGGTTTAAGAGATAGGACAACAGTAGAAGTCCTGCTCAGGTGATGAAACAGAAAAGAGGAGAGGTCACAACTTATTACTAAAATACACTTGCTTTTTGAATAAATGATTTATCAAGATAAAAGACACTTGATGATTCATGTGTCACAGTTTATCACTAATAACTGTCTCAGACACTGCCAGCAGCATAATTCACACAATGTCAGCAGATCTGGTTTAGTCTTAGAAAATAAATAAGATGTACCTTTTTTTAAAAAAAAAATTATTATTCCTTTTTCACTATGAAAATGAATTATAGAAAATAGAGAAACCATGTAATTATTTTTAAAAGCAGAATATGTATCATACTCAGAGAGAACAGACGTCATGTCACAGCCACTTGCACGGTTCAAAGACAAAATAAGCACATAAAAATATTACCCTGTCTATGAGGTAAGAACAAGTAGTGCCTTAGCAGCTTTTCTCATGTGCATCTGTGGAGTTGTGCTTGCAGACACACTTTGAGTTAAGGAAATCTGATCACTGTGGACAGCATAAAGTAAGTTAAGGGATGGTCAACAGGAAGATGCTTTTCTACCATCACACAGACACAGCACTTAATGATTCACATTATGGTACTCTGAAGCAAATAGTCAGATCAGTAATCTCCTCTATTTTCTTCTAGTGGCCTATTTAACTGTATGTTTTTGCTTTGGTGTACAGTCACACGTGGTCTATCTCCTCATATTATATACTGTTTTAAAATCCAGCAAATCAGTTTTAAGTCATCTTACATTGTCATGTCTTCTTAAACCCAAACCAGACAACTCCTGTGGTTATTTCTTACTCATGAAGGATGAAACAATGAAGCAGTTTTCCAGAGATACTTATTATAAAGCATTACCATCAACCAGGACTTCACAGCAAGCTGTTTGTACCTTAGCTCTGTCTGACCAGCCAAAGGACTGCACAGTAACATCCAAGCGTTTGACTAACAGTTTTCTTCGGACTTCGTATTCGTTGACTATGGCTTGATTAATTGCTTCAATTTTTTCCTGAAACAAAAATTTGCAAACATAACCTATAGATTATAGATAAAATGTTTCTACTTAAGATAATAAACTACGTGGATGGAAGAGAGTAAGACACACAGGATACCAAGTAGGCCTTCAGCCCGCAATTATCGACCATTAACACGTGGGCTCATAGCAAGCTACGCCTGCTGACACTATTTTCCTGAAGGCTTCAAAGGCTCTGTTATCCTCACATTCAGCCTTCTACCATTTCTAACAGCACAGCTATCTGTTTTTCAGAAGAGACATAAAAACTGCACGCACTGCTGAGACATTTCTGAATACCCACCAGGACAGAGAGGCAAAAGTGAGAGAATACCACATGCAACAAGCTGAAGGAGATGCAAGGACAGATGTAAGTCAGAGGGACGAGGGTGTCCTTGCCTTCTTAAAAAGTAGTAAGCTTAAGGACAAAGATAAGAGACTAAAAGTAAGTAAAGTACTGTAAGAGGATCTTGATTAAAGCACGATCTGCATACGGACAAGACAACAAAGTGTCCTACGGGAAAAGTCATCACTAGAAACACACCTGGTAGAAGACAGTGGTCTAGTCAGAGCAACAGTTGAGATATGCACCATTAAGGAAATCATTTATGTATTGACTGAAGCCTGGATGGATTGGGGTGGTGGCCACTTTCAGGCTCAACAATACAAGCATTGAAGGAATCAGACTGTTGGGAGATGAGCTTCAACCTTAAGCAAGAGACACGAGAGACAGACTCTCAGTCTTGCAGCAGTAGCCATAGCTTTGTGCTGGTGCAGCAGCAGTATCTAACTCAGGCATCATCCTTCTAGAACAGCAGGTGACAAAACTCAGCTGAAGATGAGCTTGGCTCTGCCACCTGGGTGTACAGCTGCTCCCAGATTCCACCTGCACGCTCACTGCCTCTTAGAGAAGAGGCTATGAAGGAAGCACATTATTCCCAACAGGACAGAAAGAGAGAAGGAGAAGATGGGAAGACCCACAGGTTAGCTGCTAAGAAGCACAGGAAGGGATGTGACACCATCTCAACAAGGCTAGGTCACACAGACAATGCTGGTAAGGGGCAGGAGAGGAAGGCTTAAGCTACTGCACAAGCATGCAGGCAAGTACCACCACTGTAAATCTCCTTTATTTTGGAAAACTTTTGCCTGCATCTGGACATACAGATTCATAAGCCTAAGATCTTATCAGCTGCTGAACATTTATTGTACCAACATATATGTAAAATACTGCAAGAAACTGTCTTCTCATCTTCAGAAAGAGACGAGAAAAATAATTTTGCAACATTACACATGGAATCAAGATCAACACTTTATATATCTGAAAAATAGAAATGGGCTCTCATACCTGCAACTACTTACCCAGTGAGCTGGTCCCAGTTGTTTCTTCAATAAAGGCTTTCCAACGTGATTAGGTGGAACCTTTGCTAGGGTTTCCTTCAGCTGTTAGGAAACATATAAAAATATAAGCATTGGATAAAAAAAAAAATAGCTTTTCAAGATTCAAATTACAGGAGAGGACTCTTGGACAGTCATAAGCATGACAGAGCAATCTCTAAATCAAGTTGTTTTCTCTGGGACAGAGAACCAAGCATATTTTTTTTGGAAGGCAACTATTTTTACATTTCTAGCAGTCTTGGGTATAATTAAGAAAAGAATTTCAAAATTAAGAGAAGGGACTATAGAGTAGGTCTACAGTTAAAATAGAAAGATTCCATGAGGTACAGCTCCCATTGAAGACAGAGGGATTATTCTACACATCAATTCTTCAATTCAGAAAAAAAACCCCACACTTATATCAAACAGGTTGTGTTAAGACTATGTGAAATATAACACAACCTAAAGAAGGACTTCTCTTTACAATCAAAAGGAGAAAATCTTCAATGTGAAAATTTTAATTTAACTTGCATTTAAAAGTTTGAGCATAACTTAGGTGATCTTTCCCATCTCAAAATTTCTGAGGACGTCGGGGGAAGAAATGGAGTAGCAGTGACAAAAACTTGAATCAAAGCAGGCTGGAGTTATTAAACTTCACTTTTCCACTGCCGCAAACCACATTTTTCAACTTCCTTGGCTGTTCATTCCAGCAGTTGATTTAACACATTCAGTGACCTGGTTTTCCAAAGGTGCTGTGCCCAATTCATTCAACTTGAAGATTTTAAAGTCAAGTGCTTTCAGAATAGCAGAAGTAGCAGTTCATTCAAGTATCAGCAGTTTCTTTTTTTAATATGGTGGATCATTAACAAAGAGGGTCAATTATAGAAAGACTCTACTCCAAACTGTACTATGTACATGTGAAGAAAAAGGGAGCTTGATTTTCACATGCTAGATCACAATACTGTCATTCTAAGACATGCTTTTTAAAAACAAGAAAACTTTAGGGTGATCTCTTGCGATAGCTATCATCTTACAGTCAAGAGTAAAATTTTCACTCTATGTTATTTAAGTTTTCACATTTTGGTCAACTTTGTGATGTAATTCAACTTACAAAGTGAAATAAGTTTTTCAGTTATTAGTCAGCTTTCCTTTCTCCTTAAATACTACCAATATCTGAAGTGTTCGTACTGTAAGCACCACAGCTACATATGATTTCTAAAAAACTCTGTAGGTTAATAAAATACATCAGGAATTTCTAAGATATAAGGACTGTTCACGGTTGTTTTTTTTAGTGTAACTACCTATGGATATAAATCATCAAGATAACATTAATTTAACCTTTTAAGACAATGTAAAAAAGTCAATTAGTAAAACACAACGGAATTCCCAGATTAAAAAGATTTTGACCTACTTTGTATTCTGTATTTTTAGAGTCTCTCACCAAAGCTTGCTAGCATTGTTCATCATTATGAATATTTTCTATCTTTTACAGAAAATGGAAGCACAGATTTCTATGTATCTAACTATTTAAAGCCCATGACAACACCAAAATCAGAAAACAGCTTCCATTTTACACCTTGGACTTCTGCTGGAAAACCATTCTCCTCTTAAACAAGTCAATCCAAAGTGATTTCTTGCAAAGAAATACAGCGCTATTTTCAGTTGCTTGGATTTGCTTAAGTACAATGCAACTAACAGGTTAGTCAAAAAACTCTGAAAGTGTTCTGGGGACCTTAGTAATCATACCTGTTCTTTAAAGTTCACAAAGGTTCCCTTATGCTGTTCTGCTCTCCCCCGTCCTGCAAGTTAAGTTACTTAATGTAACTCTAAAACTTTCTGTCCCCCATCTTTGGTCTGCACACTGGACACTCCATTCCACTTAATTTCTCTGCTTTATCATAATTACTCAAACAGAAGTAAATTTCTTTTAAAAAACAAACCTCAACAACCTGAAGAACACATAAATGTAAAGGAACAAAAATAAATGGAACCACAAGAACTGATGAAGCCTTAGGGAAAAGGTGTAAACTTGACTTTAGTTACAACACCTTTTAACCTAAACATGTTTAAAACAGTAGGTCCCAGTAAAAATTTGTTTAGGTGTATTTCTTGGAATACTTTTCTCCTTAATGTTCTTCCTGAAGCCTAAGCTCAGCATTTTTCATGTCCTCTGCAATAGGTGATGAAATTAAAACCTAGAGCAGAGTACGAAATACCTCACCCCAGAAAGCAATGATAGCAGAAGTCCCTGACCTCATGCCTTGGCGTGGAAAAAGCCTTTAAGTTAATTTTCAAAATTCTGACTCTTGGCATACTCCGTAAACTGTGTTAACTCTCCTCCACAATTCAAACACTGGAGTTTCACAAGAGGCAACTCTCTCCCTGGTAGCAGAACTATTTTCCTTCAAAACAGTAACATCACAAATATTCTGGTTTGGTTCCTTTGGATCTTACTTTTTTTTCAATTCCACTGAAGAACTGGAACATCGTTATGTTGGCTGGAGGCTTGGACATGCCTAAAGCAATACATATGCCTTTTAGCTCCTGAAAGACTTCACTGCCACCTCCTTCCTGTGCTTTTTTAGGAGGGGCGTTCACACACAGCATTCTGGCAGCTTCCAGTTCTGAGATGAGGTATGCTGGGGTAAGAAAAATTAGATTTCAGCATCACATATAGCCGAGGTAAATTATTTTAGAACCAGTGAGAACTCAAGTGCTTACAACCAACAAATGTGCAAATGGACTGGTTTATAAAGTTTTAGAAAGAGTGAGAGCTATAACTTTGGTATCCACAGAACGCTCGTATGTCTAACAATCACTGAGCTCAATGCTAGAAACACAACAAACAGAGGAAAGGTTTAGTACAACCAATTAAAGCCTGGAAAAATCCCTATGATTCCAACAGGTGTTAATCACAGAGTTCAACAGAGCACAGCTCTTCTCCTTCAGGCTTTGCCCAGCAAAGACAAGAGACTAGGAACATGGAAATAAGCAGGATGAGGGACTGGGATATGCACTTTAAGCTAGAGAAGCAAGCACTCCTTGAGGCGCTAGGAAACAAATCAAGGAAACGAGTAGAGAAAAGTGAAATGTTGGATGAATCTCCTCTACTTCCCCAGGCAAGATGCAGAGTGGAAAAATTACCCCGCTTTTAAAAGCACTATTGAGAATTCAGGTTTATAATAATTCCAGAAAATAAGGCAGTAAATGATGAAATTGAAGCTATAATGCCTGCAGTGCTCTTTAATATCAGAACTGCAAGAGCCTACCATTCTATTGTAACTCCCTTATCAAACAAAAAAAATGTTAAAAATCACAATTTTTGAACATGATGTACACCCAAAATTTCAGCATTAGATGTCAGTAACAGTGATATAAATTTAGCACATAGCCTTTGCCTGCAATTACCACAACTTTAAAGTTTGAATTGAAAAAAACCTACAGGTTTAACAATATTTTTATCATGAATCATACTGGGTGACCATAATGGTAACATAATTATTTCTAAAAATAAGGATTGAAAAACAGATACTGCACTGATAAAGACAGACTTGTGAGCAGGGATGTAAACCCATGGCTATACAAAAACAGCTTACTACCTATAAAATTGGGACAGATCAAAAGATTAAGAAAAGAACAAAGAATTTTAATGATCTCTAGAATTTCTTCTAGATCTCTAGAATGTCTTCTGCTAAAGACACAGAACATCTTATAAATGATACAATTCTTAAAATTTATGAAGTAGTGAAGAATTCTTTGTAAGTTTTTTCAACAGTACTTTACAGATTTTTCTTATATTCAACTTTCAATTATTTACACTGTTGGGTCCTCCTGAAAAAGAGACTTAGCAGCAGAATTTTATTTCAATAATTCAGAGATCACATTCAAGTTACCTTCCACCTCCTCTGATGAAGACTGAAATTTTTAAGACTATCACCGTAAAACATAAGTGTTCTCCAGACAGTGATTCTTTTTCGCAGACCTTTTCTGAACCAACCTGAAGCTCTTGTACTTTCTATTTTTGCAGATGCCAGTACTCAATATTGTATTCTGGCAATGCTGCACACCAAGACAATCCTAACTACTTACGTTTATTTGGTGCTTTCCTCTCCCAGCAATACTGCTACATCTTCCAATTGACATAAACTGTGCTGCATTCTGTTAAAATGTAAAATACCCTGGCATTCCCTTAAAGAGGGTTATTCTGTTTCTCCTGAAAAAATCTGGTTTTATGGCTCACACACAACAGGATACCTAATAAAGTAGCTTAATGTAGGTAAATAAAGCCATGCAACTATCACAGTACACAAAAAAGGAATTTGGCATCTATTTCAATTCCACATTTGACAGCAAACACAGTATTCCTGCCAGATGGGACACCAGAGTGCAGCTTCTGAACATGACCTTATATTACCAAAACGTACATCACAGAGGACCTCTGGGATAAACCATGTGTCGCAGGCAAGCCAAATTTATTGAATGGCTTGGCTTACAGAGAATAAGCTGAAGGGCAGATTGCTTGAGCTACGAAGTACATTAAATGAAATAATTACCTCACTTCATCTGATATTTTAGAAAATACTATCAAAACAAATTCAGATTAAGTCTTACTACTCATCTTTCTCCTACCGTTGAGATACAGGAAGCTATTCTGTAATTTACTTCTTACATCTCAGTCAAGGGCAGAATTAAATTTCTGTTCGGAAAAGATAAAGAATCAGCAGCAACTGAGGAAGCAAATAAAACAGTAATTTATGTTGAATTTAAGGTCAGATTAAAATTAGTATCACAATTTCTAACTCTGACACTTGTTTGGTTTTGGTTTTTTTTTAATGTGAATCAACATCACACACTTTTTCCAAATTTAAGTACTATTTCTTCTTCTTTCACATTTCCTAAGCAGGAATAAAACCAATTTATGTATTAAGATCTGCTGGGTGGAACAGTAAAGGGAAGACATCACCGTTGTTACTGCTGATATATCTCAACCAGCAGAAAGCAACACTGAAGCAAGCTATTTACTAAGGGAGATGATCAAAAGAACTGGGATTTGGTATAAAACATTTTCTTTTTTTCACAACTCTATTTGTTGTCTGAGTGTAGGAAAATGCAAGTCTTATTGCACCTTGCAAGTCATCACGGTGGGGACTCCAAAATGATGATGCATCTGATATTAGTGGTCATTTTTACAACCCTTCTAAACAAAGTTCAATGGCTAAATCCTGGCAGAAGTCTTCAAATTATTCCCTCTTTGGAGTACCTTTTGAGAAGTAAAGGCATAGGCTTTCTGCTAATAATAGTGAAAATGGTTAATACTCAGAATATTTTCCATCATATACTGGCTACAGAGTGACTGGTAAGTTTGAGACGCAAAAGTATAATATTCTGACACCGTAAGTTACAGGGAAAATAACTCATAGTTTTAGGTAACTGTTTTTATAAATTGTGGTAAGTAAAACAGTATCTCATTAAGTGTGAGAAACAACACTATGATTCTTACACAAAACCAGATTTGTTTGCAAGCACCCTTTTAACTTACTAAGCAGCAAGAGACAGTTCTTTTGATTATGAAGGCGCTTTGTCACATCTCCCGATGTTAATGATGTATACGGACAGTTCATTTCAGCCAGCAACCCACTCATTTCGAGTTGAAATTCTTCTGCTTCGTTTGGACCTTAAAAGGAAAAGAATAATAATTTGTTTACAGCTAATATATCTATCTCTGGCTATGGTTAGAATGAGTTAGCTATTAAAAAAAAAATTAAAAAAAAATTATGCTTTGCTTCAGTTGCTATTTAACATGAAACCCCTGCTTCTAATGGAAGCCAAATGTGTTCTTTGGGTTTCTCAAAGACACAGCATAACCTATTTGGAGCCATGCTATTCCTCATTATTATCAATTTACAATACTAGTTTAACTGACAGCCTTTCCCAGCTACAACAGCCAGCCACTAGCAACTTCTACAATGAAAAGTGACATAAAACATCTCTGTAAAATTTGTGATGTTTTTAAAGTATCAGCTAACTATTCCCACCACAAACATATTAGACAGTTCTCTTAAAGTCATGAATAATATGGTTTATGAGCTCTCATGGTTTTACTACTTCTCCCTGTAAACTCACATTTCTCAATTGATCTTATTTCATATCAATATCCTTTAAAAATAATTAAGTCACGTAAACCAATGCTTAGACTGATACTTGTGTCAGAAATTAGTGAAACTAATCTGAATTTGTTGAGCCAAGTTATGAAAAAAAACAGTGATTAATGAGAGGTAACAGTTTTTCTTCTTTTGAAAAGGGACTTCAACTCAAAGTGTCTGTTATTTATAAACTTAAGTCACACAAATGAAGGTAGGACTTGATGGTACTACAGCTAAAATATTTCTGTCACTGTGTCTGGAGAATCTGAAACAGGTGTTAGAATACTTCTGGATTGTATTTTTACACAAAACATATAGTAGGAATCTTATACTACTAGAAGAGGCAAGATGCTGTATTGTTACAGAGAAAGGGAGTCAAACACGCTCAAAGAAGAGAGGATGGGCACGTCAAAAACAGAGAGAGAGGAAAAGCACAGATGTTGAGGTAAAAGGCAGTAATCTTTGGCCACTGAGTGGACTGAAAGTTAAGCTCACAGAGGCATTACAAGTTAATACATTAGATAATCAGAAGTACAGGTTATCATAACAATTTAACAATTTAATCTGTAGAATGTCATGACTAGTTAACCTTAGTTTTCCAAAAATGTTATTTTTGCTCAACCAAGGTTTGCTTCCTCCACTAAAACAATATAAAAAACATTTTTCAGGCTCCTTCTCACAGCGTGTTTCATAAAGAGGGAAAAATACATAGTAAGCATAGAGTTAAGGTAACCAACAATACAAAGAAAATACGGTTACTATAGTCATGAGAGTGCTTCCTTGAACAGTAGGTATTTCTTACATCAAAATTACAAACAGAAGCGTTGAAATAAAAGTATTCTCAGGATCTAATTAAAAAAACACTAATGTTTCCTTAAATCCATCCAAGAACTTTAACAAAACTCTATGGCTGAACAATTAAAAGAAAAAGCTAATTTCAGAAGAAAGACTGTTTGATCCTCGCTATTATTTCAACCTCTGCTGGCTGTTCATTAGGCAGGTTTGAGGTGGAAAATATCCAAAATCTGACAGCGTGCAGACAATACTCCCTGGTACAACAGATTTAGCAATTGTCAGCCCAAATCTATATGGCATGCAAGAACACACATTAAGTGCACGTTTGTGCTAGAGTTATGGCTACTTACTGTTAGTTGCCTGCACATTTTCCTCTAGTTTACAGAATAGCCGTAACTCAGATACCAACCAAGCACAGAGTTTGGTGAATTCAGGGGAACTGGCTCCACGAGAGACTGCCTGAGCCAGCGCTCCGTCATCTAACAATGGACCTTTGTAACTGACAAGTAAAACAAAAGCACAGTTTATTAACATTTGCTTTGACTGATGTTCTGTGAGAGATTTATTTTATGCTGTATACATATTGAGAGCTACACCCTCGTCATATCTGCAATGCTGAACATCAAAACTGGTAAGATCCCTGCACTGAACTGTAAGAAAAAGCATATTGAAAATGTCTGACTCAACCCAGCATTTTCATGCACATTAGCTTACTGCCAAGGAGACTATCACAAAATATCATCATCAAAGGTTTCATCCTGGAGAATGTTATCTCATACAGCAGCAACTTCTCTGCCTCTATCTCCTGAAGATGTTACTTACAAAATACCTATCTAGGGCAACTGCAGTTTCAAAATATCATTCTTGAGCACTGCTTTACAGTATGTTGAATAATTACTGCTGAACTAGTGCATCTTCTCTGTCATTTCCTATCATGTGTTAAAGGGTTACCATGCTAAACAAAGCCTTCAATACAAATGTTATGAAAGCGATCAGCAAAACAATATCCTCTTTTGAAAAATTACCTTCTTAAATGGGCACAAGAAAAATAAATAGCATTAGTTCTTGCATAAACAAAGTAAGTTGAAATCAGGCCTAGTGTAAGAAAGTATGAGTCTGAAGATCAGGTCTTACAAGACAGTTTTCAGGACATCTGCGTACTGATACTCTGTCAGGGGGAGGAGGAAGAGTAGCAAGAAGATTGCGTTATTAACCAGGTAGAAGCACAAAGTCAGAGCTTACCAGCGTATTTAAGAAAAAATGCACTATATTCTTTCCATATACTGCATCCAAACCAGAAAGACTTTCAAGAGTGACCATAGTCAACCGAAGTCCCTCTTTTGAACTCCCAGCTGAAGTCACCCACTACGTCACAACAACCCAATGAGTCCGGTCAACTCTTTGCAAACCTCAGAAGTAAAAAAACCTCTCAAAGAGTAAATTAAAATGTTATTCTCCACACTTTGTTTTTGTGCTTAACATCACATATAAAGGATCTGGTCTTCACTGTAACAGCCTTTTACTTCACCCAACCAAACTGAGGAAGCTACACTCAAAAATAACTTTTACCTCACAAAGCAGCTCGATTAGTGACACTGAGTTAATCTACTAGCAGCTGCTGGGAAGCTGTAATCTGATGTAGTACATCCCTTCTACACTACCACAGTGGGCCAGACAATTCCAACAGGCTAATTAGAGCAAGTTTAAGTCCCATCCCACAGACATGTTGGACCTACACATGTATAGGAACATATGGGACTCAGAATAGAAACATCCAGTGACAGATCAAAGTAGAAGGAAAGCGATGACAAGTCTTTTGCTTTGGCAGGATCTGGATTTAAGTCACTGGTCACATCAGAGGCTCCTTTTCTTGCATTTTTCTTTGACAGATATGGCATCTTGACCGTGTTATCAGTGATAATTATGACGACATATATATTTGGGCAGTAATCCAACTTGCAGATTCCTGACTGGAAGCAGCTTTTTACTTCCATTCCTGCCAATGGCACACGTTCTAGAGTTACACTCCTCTTTTGGTAGCATTATGCTGTCCAGCTTGTTTGCTTTTTCAATAGTTCAACAAACTGATTTACAAGGCAAGAAGCTGCTATTTGAACACCTCGAGCACCAATCCAAAAAGAAACAACTCTTTGACGTGCAATGCTATTAGAAAAAATAATCAAGTAATACGTTAGAAATGTCTTCAGTATCTGGTTATAAAAAAATAAGTTGAACTGTGAGGAATCATGGAGCTACTGCCAAAGCTTAAAACTTCAAACACCCCAGTCTTTCCGGACACAAGGAAAGAGAAGCCATTTAGTCACATGCAGTAGTTTTCCCAGTTGTTACCAATATTGCTGAAGCCCCACGTCTTTCACCCTCCAAATTTTCTGTTGCTAGTCTTGGTTGATATAACTTATTTTTAATCTGCTTTCATTGTTTGCCTTACTTGAGAATGTTAAAAATCAACAGCAACGCTTTCTGCCTATAATTACACAGATAAGGAGCACAAATCACGACTCCCCCAAGCCAGTATGGCAGAAAAAAGGAGTTGATCACGGGATGTGTATCATGGCAGAGACCTTTTCACATTTCATTTGGAGACATACCTGCCAAAACAGGATCCTGTTTGTCAAGCTTTGGAACTATCATCACCAACTTAGCCTGGAAATATAATCTCTGTTGGAGCATAATGACTCTAGCCACAAAGTGATTTATAGAAATGTGGCCAATGTGAGTAAATACAGCTGTTTGCATAGAATCAGCAGCAGTAAAATTGTAACTGCCTCTTGTTTGAACTCGCAACAGTTTACAGACATGCAAGCTTACACAGTAGGGCACGTTCTCCTTGCTCTCCCTTTCATATTTATATAACCTTTACCGACTCTGACAGAGTAACAGGTTTAAACAACAAGCTTCCTGTCCTATGTTATACTGAAAAAAGTAAAGAGAAAAATACTGTCATCTACAAATTTTTTTGCTGCTATTTGTCACTAAATTTGAAGCCTAAAAGTTTTCGTGTCCCCTGACTTCTC